GGGGGGCTTGCAGCCCACCCACGCTGCAGGGCTGAACCACATCTCTGAAAACAAAGCGTGCCTTCTCAACTGACACAACAGAGAAAGTTGCTAAGTCCTTGGTAAACACACAAAAATAACCATTTGACTTCTATTCTCTTTAAACTGTTTAAAATGCATAAACACACGGGTATAAGTAGCGTTAATTATAATCACCAATCACCAATAAGTACACCGGAAATCAGTAATTGTTAGAAATAAAAATTTTTGCAATAAGGATTTTCTTTATTAGCAAGCTTTTTCCCAGCTGATCGTACTGGACCTTCCAGTGAAAGCTGAGGTATCTATTCCTACCGGGCTATTTCTCCGCTGGTAATTTGGCACATAGGTATTTGGTACACGGATGTTTACTCTCTAATAACAGCATCTATTTGGCTATTGATGAAACTAGAGAAGTTATTTAGAGTTAAATAGTTTCCCTGTGTGCATTTAACTATGTAAACAAAAGTCATACAGGGCTTGGCTATTGCTTCATTTACTTCCATGTCAGTGTGTTTGATTCAAGCCAGTTCCGTATTGGCTGAAAATTATTACGAGCTGATGGATATTTAATCAACAGGCAGTGGCTTCGATCCAGCTCCTTCTGGACAGGCTGCGGAATAATGCGAACCTTGCTCATTACTCGATGCTATCTCTGGTATTTCTGGCAGAGTTGGGCAGATCAGGAGGACACATCTCTGAAAACAAAGCGTGCCTTCTCAACTGACACAACAGAAAGTTGCTGCAAGTCCTTGGTAAACACACAAAAATAACCATTTGACTTCTATTCTCTTTAAACTGTTTAAAATGCAAGTCAAATAAACACACGGGTATAAGTAGCGTTAATTATAATCACAAGCTTAACATAAGTACACCGGAAATCAGTAATTGTTAGAAATAAAAATTTTTGCAATAAGGATTTTCTTTATTAGCAAGCTTTTTCCCAGCTGATCGTACTGGACCTTCCAGTGAAAGCTGAGGTATCTATTCCTACCGGGCTATTTCTCCGCTGGTAATTTGGCACATAGGTATTTGGTACACGGATGTTTACTCTCTAATAACAGCATCTATTTGGCTATTGATGAAACTAGAGAAGTTATTTAGAGTTAAATAGTTTCCCTGTGTGCATTTAACTATGTAAACAAAAGTCATACAGGGCTTGGCTATTGCTTCATTTACTTCCATGTCAGTGTGTTTGATTCAAGCCAGTTCCGTATTGGCTGAAAATTATTACGAGCTGATGGATATTTAATCAACAGGCAGTGGCTTCGATCCAGCTCCTTCTGGACAGGCTGCAGAATAATGCGAACCTTGCTCATTACTCGATGCTATCTCTGGTATTTCTGGCAGAGTTGGGCAGATCAGGAGGATGTGGGTCCTTTCCAGTGCCAGGTTTGTTTGGAGGTGGGCTGCAGGGCTACTGCATTTGCCTCAGGGAGACTGCAGACAAAGGAGATTTAGAGGGAGCTTAGAAAGCTTCCTTAATTATTTTCCTGATGGAAATAAGAGCTATTACTGCTAGTCAGTCTTCTCGATGCTTGTCCAATTGCTACAGGATATGTATTTGATTTAAAAAAAAAAAAAAAAATCCAACCGATCTACTTGAGTGATTGTTTTTAGCAGCTGCCAAACCATCTGTGTGAATGTAACATGGTTTATGTCAAGCCATTTGTCGTCCTTTTGCCTGATACTATCTATCCTGGTCTAAATTTCTCAAGATGAGCAGCATCCTTGTTGTGGACAATCTGGGCTATGCTGGTCTAAAAAAGCATAATTGCATGTAATTTAATTGTAGTTTAATTCTAAAATGTTCCGAGTGCTTGGTCCTTTAGCAAACCTGTGAGCGTGAAGTTCGACAGGGCGATTCTCAAGCTTAAAATTAAGCCTATGCTGAGATATTCTGTGGCTTGGCAGAGTGCTCAGTGCCTGGCAAAGTCAAGCCCTTGACACCTTGGTTACAATAAAGGGGGCTGTTATCACGGAAGAGTATAATTGTATCAAACATGACATATTAATAGTTTTACAGACTAAGCAGCATATTTAATGATTTTTAAATGGGTTATGTCAGCTTGTCCTCTTTCTCTTATCCCGGTCAGAGAATGACATGACAGTCTGTACGGGGTAAAGCGGTAAGAGCTCACTCACCTTTCCAGTACTTGTTCGGGTTAAATGAATTGTTTTTCTGCCTTGCTGCCCTATCTGGATTGTTGATGTTTTTCCCTGAAATACCTCTTACTGAGCCATCAGTCAGTGTTAAAAATTCATCACATTGCACAGCTGAAGCTAGCCCTAGGGAATAGGTTAGTCTGGGAGGAAACATCCAATTAGCTGAAAAGTGCTGCTCATGCGAAGGATAACAAGTAGAAATTGATATGTTGACATCAGCCAGGCTTTCAGCTTTAATATGAAGCTATAAATTGAACACGCAGGTACAATTCCTATTCAGCTTGCTGAATACTATGTCTCTGGGTATTACAGCACCCAATAATGAACAATATACCTGCAGCTTTTCCTGGCTGATAGGGTGTGACTGACAATCACAGCACTGTACAAATTCATTGTACAGAACAGTGCATACACCTGTACAAATTCATTGTACAGAACAGTGCAGCGGAGAATAAGTTTGATCTCCTCCTCCTTGAATCAATACAGGGGGATCTGCAAAGAGAACGTGTGCAAGGCAATGTGGCATGCGTTTTAATTAAATGGACCTTGCAATAGATGGTGAAGCCAATCCTGCGGTATTATTTTCTCCGCTACAGAAAAAGAACTACTGTAAACGGCAAACAGGAACCTTTAAAAAACAACAACAAAAAAGTAAAACCCCCACACCGTTCACAATCAGAGCAAAAGGCTGGGAATGTCTAAGAGCTGCCACAATATTCTTGGTGTCTCTAATATCCTAAATAGTTGACATAGGTATAAAATCTGGGCTTGCAGAGATTGACCATTTGCTGCCCCAAACACACACATTATGTCTTGGTTGCTACTAAAGGTGTTCAGACTTGACTGTGATCCCCTCATTTAGGCTGCTGATGGTTTCAAACTAAATGCAGGTAAGGCAGCAGTCATGCCAAAACAGGCGCTTTCTTCCATCCCCTTTAATCCTTTTCAGGGTTACCCACAGGGAGAACATGAGTGTAGCCCTACTCTTCCAGTGCCATATTATTAAGCAATATTATTAACACCTAATGCCAGAGCGAATGGTGCAGATTATTAGACAGAGCCTGAAATGGCTGCTCAGCGGTGGTCTCATGCGAAGTCTGGATAAAGTAATGATGTGTCTGTTCTGCAAAATCCATCTATGCCCCAAAATCGAGCTGCTTGTTCCAACTTTGCCTTCTGGTGATGGTCTTGAGAGGCACTGCCCTGAGGCAGGCATCCAAGCATCAGCTTCTCCTTTCCTTAATGCACCCGGTAAGCTGTGCCGCGCCGGAGCAGCAGGTCGCCTGGCATCACCAGAGGTTTTGGCTACTGCCAGGCAAGTTTAATATCTGTGCAAATTATGAAGTGCAGCTGCAGATCCAAGCGAGCCGCTAGAGAGTTACTAGAGAGGAATGTTTGATAGTCTTGTCCGCTGTTTTTGTGGCTTCTCTTAGCACAAGGTTTCTGCAGCCCTTTCAGGGGTGACGCCATGCAGAAGTACTTGTGCTATTTTACTTCACAGATAGGTTAAGTAATTTTACAGATTCTTATGCTAAACCAGTTAACAGACCCGTACTAGGACTCCAGATCTGATCTCAGAAGAGCCCCTTGCTCTCTTGCGCTTATTCTGCTTGTTAAGCTTTATTTGATTAAAACAAAAATAGCTTTAGAGACTTGCTACGTGATAGCTCTTGTTTTGAGAAAACAGACTCCTATCTGAGTTGTTGAACACACCCATAAGCCAGTGGCTGTCCACTTCTGCTGAGTATATCAGTAAGTTATTAGCTCTCAAGGGAGAAATTTGGGGATATAAATAACATGTGTCTGGGCATATTTGTAATAAAAACGAACGTACGATGTTCTGAGAATAGAAGGCAGCTATTTTAACTGCGGGCTAACTTAAACTGTAAAGTAGCTTGCATGCTTCCCATGAGGGGTAACAAAACCTTGCTGGCGGCTGGCCAGAAGGTCTGCTTTGCTTTTGCTTTTCTTTACGTGCCTGAAGTCAAAACTTCCTGCACCCCAGCCGCAAGTGGTGAGCGGAAGGAGAACGTGTGCCGGGCG